CTCAAATGACAATTTTTCTTTGCATTTGTTGAATTTTAGCTTGCTCAAAGAATATATTCTTCTCACCGGCGAGCATATATTCCGCCTTTTCTATTTTACTCGCTGGAACGGCTGGCGAGACAGAGAAGGAAATCGAGAAAGCTCTTCACGTGACCCACCAAACCGATCAAACGAAGCTTCACAATGCGATTGCAAAAGATTTGAACAACCTTACTCGCAGCACCCCAGAGACGAAAGTCTGCATGGCGAATAAGATATTTTTGGATGAGGGATTTCCTATCAAAAGTGCTTACTCGTCGCTTGTTAGTGGGTGCTACTCAGTGACTCCAGAAGGGGTTAGTTTTATGTTCTATGCGTGATCTCAGACGATATTGTAGCTCGCGTTTTCGGACCCAGAGAAAGCTCGAGCCCATATAAATCAGTGGGTGAAAGACAAGACAGAACAAAAAATAGGTGAACTCTTCCCTGCGAATAGTATTAACCACCAAACAAAGATGGTTATTGCTAATGCCGTCTACTTCAAGGGTAGGAGCTTGCAAACTTCTCAACTCCTTTGTTAGGTCTTTGGGATTTACCTTTTGAGAAGTCCAACACCAAAGATGACAAATTTACCCTGTCTGATGGGAGTAAGAAGGATGTAAAATTGATGTACAAGAATATCGAGAAGGCAATGTACAGTGACTTTGAAGGTATGGACGCCAAGGCTGTTTGCCTTTCTTTCAAGGAGTCTGGGTAAGTTTGGCAGGAGAGGAAGTAACCAACTATCACCTTTTCGTGGCCCCAAAGTGCCTTCACAATATTACCCTTCTATTTCTCCCGCTTAGGCTGAGTATGTTCATTCTGCTCCCGAATCGAGAAGACGGACTGCCGCAGTTGTTGAAAAAGCTCTTCACTGTTGGCCCTACCCCCGATGGCTGTGGGGACAAGCGTTACCTCGATATGTTCCTCTCATCCATGTATTATTATACGCAAGAAGTCAATTTATATCTTCCGCGGTTCAAAATAGGTGAAAATGACCCCTCAATGAGCCTTATTGAGAATATGCAGAAGTTGGGTGTCAACAAAATCTTTAGTCATACCATCGCTGACTTCTCGGACTTGACTGACTTAAAAAACCTTTGTGTGTCTTCGATCCTTCATCGCGCTGTACTGGAGGTGGGTAATGTTTGCGTCTTTGCGTCTTTTGCTCCCGGTGACTGATGGATTTATCTTCTAGATAATTTATAAGCAATTCAAGAACTACCTGTCGCGTACTTGTTAGTTTACTAGTACTTTAAAAGGCGATCAGCAAGCCTGATTCCGATGGCGTTAATTTTCAGAGCTCCTTACACTTGATCGTTAGGTACCTGATCTAAATAACTAGAAGCTTACTTTCCTAAAAGAGTTCTAACAGATATGAGAGACTGGGATGACAAGTTATGGCTTATCAGCCACCCTAACCTGATTATAACCTTCAGAACAACAAACCTGTGTCTCAGTAGCTCAGAGCGTTGGACTTGATAACGCTCGATGGTCAAAGAACGGAGCTTCGAAGCGCAGTTACGACTAAGACTGACTGACAATGACTAATAAGCCAGAAATGACCATCCCAGACTTTCTTGCCTTTGTCGGAACTCCCATTCAGCACGTCCTCCTGGACGCAATGTGACCGCCTGCAAGGGCTCTAGACTGAACCCTAAGGCACAATAGGATGAGGTGATCCGGTAATTAGATCGCTAAGCACACTTCCAGTGTACATATTTTGTTGAAAACTGGGTTAAATTGAACTAGCTGGCCTAACATTTATTCTACCGAAAGCCAGGGGAAAAAGAAATATTTCATCACGTATTATTAAAAAAAGTGTTTCAGTAACCGTACGACCAACTCTCTTTTGGGCTCGTGTGTCCATGCCCTGGACTTTTCCTGACAAAAGTACAAGCTAAACGTCCTGAACGGTCAGCAGCACTATTTCAGTAGCCTAAAATGCTGCGCTTAGAAATTGACTAAAAGTGGTCAACCCAACACTAGATGAATAAATATTTAAAAAATCGGCCGAGAACATAAATAGACATAAACATAAGCAGCTTGAATTTACAAGCCCACAAATTAATTGAAGCGCGAAAGTAAAGGATAGCGACCATAATGAGAAAAAATAAAGTGACGATCTTTCTCCTTTGTGTCAACTCGCGAGAGGCTGTCAACGAACGTGGTGGGTACTTCTGTTTTCGCCACCTTTTCGGTGGACTCTTGAATCAGCAAGAGGGTGCTTGGCCGCCCCTTCGACCTTTGGGTTATGATCTCCGTGACCTCTACGATCCCCTCCCCCTTTCGGTCTAGCGTACTGCCCACCCATAAGCGACAACTTCTCTTCTGAAAAATCCAAAAAACTTTTTCTGTTTGTCATTTTTTCCTTTGTTCCACCCCATTTGCTCGTGTTATTTGGCATCTTCAGTAAATATACAGGTAAAAAAATGGGGGTTCAAAGTTACACACATGCATATCTCTTAAATAAACTGAACTGAACTAGTTTGGATGCGTTGCGCTGTGATAAATATAATTGAGTTTAAAAGTTTCCGGTTCTTAAGATGACGGTAGTAGTGTATTTAATCTGGTTCCACTTCGATTTCTTAAAAACCGGAGGCCAGTTGGAAACAGCATGCTAATCGGATGCTGTGGTAGCTCACTTGGAATATATAGATGGCTTAAGCTGGTTTCTTGCGGCCGGCTTACTTTTTTAGGAAGATGTGATCGCATTTGATTTTTGTTATTTTTCTTCTTCCAGGTTGACGAGGAGGGAGCTGAGGCCGCGGCTGCCACTGGAATTGGTATCATGATGATGTGCTTGCCTCCGCCACCGGTTGACTTCAAAGTCACACATCCATTTGTGGTTGCCATAGCCGATGACGAGGGATCACCTCTGTTCCTGGGTCATGTTTCCAACCCAAAGTAGATGAACGTCAGTGCGTTTTCTGATCATAAGGTATTGAGGCTTCTTGTGATTTGCTATTTGATGAACATTTTGCTACTTGTCACCTAGACTTAATTTCATCCTTGCTTACTGACAATTTCATGCTGTTGCACCGATGACGCCTGAAGGGTCCTCATATTATTCGGATCTGGCACCTCAGACCAATGCACTGTTGACCTTAATTTTTGCATAACCATGTTTTTTTAGAAATAGCAGGTGCGAAAGCCTGTGTTTGGCTCTTTTTAAAAGGTGCATTCGTAATCGCTCGCAGCGCAAGCATTAGGTGTTGTCTGCCTCTTAGCGTACAAATGCCACACCCAGGGGGGAATGTGGTGGCACGCCCTGGCGTAGACTTAACGCCGCACACAATCCCAGCACCAGTTCGTTGACAGATGGAGGTCGACTCTAGGAACTCCACATCCCACGGTACTTTAGCGCATTGCTCATCATAAAAAGAAGTTGATGCATTTCAGTCTGTCAAGCAGCGTCAAAGGTCGTTTGCTTTGAAGACTACCAACTAGTCGAGTAAATCGGTCTTTTCAGGGCGAAGCGTCAAGCTCAATGGTTCTTCCTGAATGTGGCTTCTATGACACTCCCACCCAGATAGATTCAGCGGCGCCTTATTTCGTGGATAATAGACACATAGTGTCGGGGGCGGGTCGTGTGTACATGCGTAGATGGGTTGTTTCTCTCTGCGTCCGAGCCCACCCCCGGTCGTCCTGACTCTGCCTTGTCCGTGGGCTGAGGTGAGTGAGAGCGAGAAGGGAGTGCTGTAGATGCTGCATGCGCAAGTCTCATTGATTCGCCCACCATACATCGTTCCCCGTACTGCCAACATCGTGTATAGCAGTTAGTCACTCACACTTCCCACTGAGTTTTGTACTACGATATCGATGATTTCACAGTCTATCGCAGGAGGTGTTTATTCCTTACGGAAAACTGAACAACATGGGCAGCCACCTTAGATTTTCCTCCTAACTACTGACACATAACTTAGCCTAGAAACCAGGCCGGACTCGGGATGTGCTACCTTCGGGTGCGAATGCCCATTAGAAAGGTCGTTGGGACGTTGAGGTCGTCTTCGTAAGGTACGGTATCAGTTGTCCGTGACGTGCGAGCATGGAAATTGCTTCTATTTTAGGCAGTTCAGTAAGACGCGTTGCATTCAAGATGTCCACCTACTACCGTCTAGGGCTGGTGTGCACAAGTGAAATCATCCATTCGAGTGATTTAATAGGAAAGACGTTTTATTCGTTTTACCCACTTGTGAAAAACTGGGTGGCCTCGCTGAGATTATAACCCACTTCAGCCAACTGAGCTACGAGGTTTTCACCATGAGCCCTTACTTTAGTCACACCCGGGAGCCTCGTAGCTGAGTTGGCTAGAGC